ATATATCCTTATTACTATTATTACTGCTTTTGCTAATAATATTATTATTATTGTTATTGCCGTTTATTGTTATTATTAATATTTATTATTATTATTAATATTTATTATTATTATTAATATTTATTAATATTATTCTTATTATCTCCTAGGATTATTAACTTTATTAAGTTGTAGCAGCGCTGTCTGTTATTATTTATTTTCTTATTTTTTATTTATTGCAATAATAAAATAATAATAATAATACTTACAAACACCAATTAATATTATTTTTTTATATTAATTAATATTTTTATTTTAACTATTTGTTTTATTATTTGCATTGTTCGCGCTGTATTATTATTGTTTTGTTATTATTACTGTTAATTATATTATATAATTATATTTTAATTATATAAATTAAAATAAAAAGTTAATTATATTTCTTATTTACTTATTGGAGGAGTTACGATTATTAATACAGTAAAAAGAGTATAATAATAATAATTATAATTATAATAATTATATTATCATAAATATAATAAGATAATTACAATAACAAATTAATTATATTTTTAATCTACTTAACAATATTATATAATAATTATATTATAATAATTATAATAAGACGAGTACAATAATATAATTAATTATATTTTTAATTTACTTATTTGCGGTGTATCACCAGTTAGATATACAATTATAACAATATTATATAATAATTATATCATTATAATTATAATAAGACGAATATAATAATATAATTAATTATATTTTTAATTTAATTTAATTTAATTTAATTTAATTTACTTATTTGCGGTGTATTTCCAGTTAGAGTTGTCTCCGTCGCAAAGCTGAAGAAAAACCCTAAGCCGTTGCAGAGAGGCGAGACAGTCAGCAGCTCTGTAAAATAAATAAAATAAAATAAATAAATAAATAAATAAATAAATAATTAAATAAATAATTAAATGCAATAAAATAAATAAAAGAATAAATCAACAAGTAAAGAAATACGCTTAAAACACAACAGCGTAGCGTTCGCAAACAAAAAAAAATAAAAATGTAATAAATAAAAATAAATAAACATATAAATAAATACAGAGAGTAAATAAATAAATAAATAAATAAATAAATAAATAAATAAAATGAATAAATAAATAGATAAGTTGAAGAGGTGCAACTCAAATATCGACAAGACAAACAAAACAAGCAAGCAAGTGCTGATAGGAAGTACAGCTAGCTGCGTTGCTAGCTAGCTAGCTAGCCGTCTTGCTAGCTAGCTAGCTAGCTGTCTTGCTAGCTAGCTAGGTGCCTGGCTAGCTACCTAGCTAGCTAGCTGCCCGCTACTGAAGCTAGCTAGCTGTTTGTCTAGCTAGCTAGCTAGCTAGCAGTGCTTCCCTCAGCTATGCAGGGGTTTATTACTCACCGTAGCTGCCTAGAAGGCTGTAGAAGACGACAGACCCGAGCTGATTGAGAAGATATAAAACTAAGAACTGTATATGCACCGCAAACGCACAAACCCTAAACCCTAAACCCTAAACCCTACATACGAAACCCTAAACCGTAACTAGACCTTGCAGGCGACAGCAGAAACGAATCTTTAAGGCGCCAATTCGACGCAGGATGGTTTTTGGGGGTTAGGGTTTAGGGTTTAGGGTTTAGGGTTTAGGGTTTAGGGTTTGGGGCTTACTCTCCAACGAAGGAAGAGCTGCAGCAGCAGCGGCAATCTCTTGTTAGGGTTTTGCTTCTGCTGCTGATTCTCTTCTTGACCTTCGATTCGCATTAGAGGTGTAGTGACACCCCAAAGGGCACCCACCACCAGAATCCCTTCAACAAACACAAACCCTAAACCCTAAACCCTAAACCCTAAACCCTAAACCCTCAACCCTAAAGGGTGGAGTCACGGGTGTCCAAACGAAAGGAATAGAGGGGCAAAATGTAGAATGCTGGAAGTTGAACCCCGAACCCTAAACCCTAAACCCTAAACCCTAAACCCTAAACGCTTTTCTAGGTAGATGCTGCGATAGGCTTGTAGACATATCTTAGCACTAAACCCTAAACCCTAGGAGGTCTCACCCAGGAGCATCATTATGCTTTACTCAACAAACGCAGAGATTCTAAGAAATGAAGACAAAAGAATATAAACCCTAAAAAATATAATTTCTACGCATTGCGTCTTTGAGTTTCTGCGGTGTACAGGCAGCCAGAAGAAAGGCGTGGTTCTTTATTGACTAAATTAATTAAAGAAATAAAAAGAAAAGAAAAAAGAAAAGAAGTACAAATAAATTTTTACTTCTTCTTTTGGTGTGTATACACCGCAACATCAAACACGCAGAGCTGCCTGTACACCTGAAGACCTTGCAAATAAAGATCAGTTTAATTCATCTTTTATATTGATTTATTTTATTTTCAATAATATTTAATTAAAATAATAATATATAATAATAAGGAAGCCCCAAAATTACACACTGCATGCACCTGCATGCATCGCCTTCACCGCAAGACTTTGTTTATGTTGCTTCTTGACAAATTGTTTTGTTTTATGAATTTATTTTCTTCTTTTTCTGCTTTTTTCCTTCAGTGTTATTATATTTACTAGCAGACGAATATATGCATATACTTTTCTCCTCAGTTACTCCTTTCTTTCTGAATTAATTAATAAGGGTTTGCGGTGTACATACACCGCAACTCTGCGTCTTTCTTAGCATTGTTTGCTTTCCCTCTCTATTTAAAGACAGAGAAGCAACCCATAAGGTATATTCTGTTTTTTATTTATCTTTTTCTGCTGTCTCTGCTGAATAAACAACAACAAATGTACCCCTCATCACCCCACAAACCTCAAAAACAAACAAAATGACTACAAGTGCAACGCCGTCTACTAATCAAAACCCTCAACCAACGCAGGGGGCCCCCCAGGGGCCTCAAGGGGCCCCCCTAGGGTCTCAAGGGGGTCCCCAGGGGCCTCCAGGGGGCCCCCAGGGGCCTCCAGGGGGCCCCCAGGGGCCTCAGGGGTCCCCCCAGGGCCCCCTTAGTGAAGGGGGAGGTGAGGGTTTGATAGAGGAGGAGAGCGATGATATGACGCATTCTATTGAACAAGAAAAACGAATGCATGCATATTTTGCTGCCGATGCTGCTGCTCTTGCTGCTGACCCTGCTGCTGCAGCAGCAGCAGTAGCAGCAGCAGCAAAACTCATTGCAGCAGCGAAGGAACAAGCAAAATTCATACAAGCAGACACAACAGCAATAGCACCAGCAGCAGATAAATCAGCAGCAGCAGCAGATGAAGCAACAACAGATACATCAACAGCAGATACAGCAGCAGAAGCAGCAGCAACAGATGCATCAGCAGAAGCAGCAGCAGCAGCAGCAGCAGCAGGAGCAGCATCAGGAGAGCCTCATAGATGTGTCTTTCGTTTATTTAGAATAAATTGCAGCTCTTATTATTCAGTTTGCGACTTAAAAGAAAGACTGCCGATGCTAACCGCAAATTCTGTCTGTCAACTTTGTAAAACAATTGTCGTAGAAAACACAAAACACGCCGGTACACATGCACAACTCATGTACAGCACAATTTTTATATAATATTTAATATATTTAATATTTATATTGTGAATATATATAATATATATATGTGAATATAATATAATATATGTATATATGAATATATATAGTATAGATATGTGTGTGTTTACATATATAAAGATATATATATTATATATATTATATATATTATATGTATATATATGAATATATATACGTATATGAATATATTTACCTGTCTGTATATGTATAATTATATATATTCTCTGTATATGCAAATATATATAATATATATATACATATATATATATATTGTGTGTACATATATATATATATATATGTATATATATATACGTATATATATATATATATATATATATAT